GTAGCTGCCCTCCTCCGCCGGTTGGTGAAATCCCCGGTTCCCCGTAGCCGGTAAGAGGCTGTAACGCCCTCCCCTGACTGCTCCCACCTTGGGGCCTTCTCTTTCCCGCTGCTTTGCCGCTGCGCTGCGCCGCTGGCGGGGTGGGGTCTTGGCTTAGCCTGGCTCCGTGTGCTCCGCGTCTCACACGGAACCTTCGTCCCGCCAGGCCTGCCCGCAGCCAGGGCTATTGGAAACTCACCTTTATCCATTACCTGACCTTAAAAGATGGCCCCTGGGCGCTGTTTTCCCGGAGGAAGGGCCCTGGGAGCTGGATGAGAGAGGAGATCGGTCCTGCCCTTCCTTCCAAAAGTTTCTCTCTTGCCCTGGTGGGACGAAGCTGCTCGAGGAGGTGAGTGGTGCACTCGGGAAGGAGCACATCCATTTTACACCCCACTGCTTCACGCTGTAAGAGAGGTAAAGCCAGCTCTGCCTGGCCCTCGGCTTGCAGGAGGGACCTTCCCTGCGGGGTAGCTTCTCATCCTGCTCAGAATCGCATCTCTTCTTCAAAGCCTGTTGCTATTGGAAGCCATGCTCAGAAACTTGAAGGCCCATTTTCCATACCAAAATATTGACAAGCATCCTTTGTATAAAGCTCTCCTAAATTTTTTTTTAGAACTTGTGTCATTTTTCTAGTTTGGCCAACAGAGATGGGCAGCTGGGGGGCAGGAACATGAGGTTATGTGCAACAAAGCAAAGCTTCAGGTTGCTTGGACCTTGTTTCCAGTGCACCCCAGGATGGAGGGAATACCCCACTGAGACCCCAGGTTACTGGTGAGGAAGTCATTATAGGAAACCCTAACTCTGTCTAAGGTAGGAACACAATAACATTTCAGCAGAGACTTGGCTTAAGGAGTGAGATGTGTGTGTGTGACTTTGGTATTGGAGAGTAAGTCAGCTGAGGAAGCTAAGAATCAATTTGAGACCCAGATCTATTTACTGCAGGTTGAATCATTGTTAGGCTTTTTGAAAGACCGCTCCAGCGATGTTGTCTCTTGTTGCCATGCTCTTTTTGTAGCAGCTATTTACAGCTGTGTCGGGACCCGTTTGCCTCCTGGGTGACCTTGTAAGGTCTGTGATCAAATCACATCCATAATTTTATAGAACTAATCTATAGCATGATATTTGTTTTGCAAAGGTAGTTTCAAAATGCTATAAAAACTGCGATACCGTAAGTACTCTGACTTTTGCCTGTATTAGGTTGTTTTTTCTTCCCCTGTAGATTCTGTAAAGTTGTTTTGTTTTGTTGCTTCTAATAACTGGAAGTAGGCTAGTGAAAAATGTGGCCTTTTGCACTGGGAATTTGTAGCCCAGGCCTGAAAAACCCATGACGGTGAATTTTTAGAATAATTAGTAAGTAAAAATACAACAGTAACAGTGAACTTCTGGCTGGAATTGGTTACACTGATGGTCAATTATACATCATGCATTCCTGTCTCAAGTTTAATAAGCTGACTTTCATGAAGTACAAGGTGGAGATTCTTGAGAATATAACCAGTTCTCTGGCATTTACTTTTTTCAAATGGACTTTCAGATTCATATAATGTATTTGTTGTAGATCATTTACAGTTTGACTCTGCCTGTAAGGCTCAGGAAGTCTCAGTGTTATTTCGTGTTTTTAATTTCAGCAGTAGAGCTGCAACAAAGTTACTGAGTCCCAGCACAATCCCGTGCTTGAAAACCAGCATTTATTCCTTGTCTTCCTCTGAAAAAGGCTTCTGTCTAAGGCTTCTTTCATCTTTGGATGCTTTGAGAAGAGGATAAAGATGATGTGTGGTCTTCGACTCTGACTCAATTACTTGCTTTGCGTAGTTCTGAAATTCACGCTCCTTACAAAGTGCAATAAACTCTTTCTGAGCATCATAGTCCAAATCTGCTTGCTTTTCCTGTTGTCTTTTTGCCTGCTTTTCAGCCTGATGAAGAAAAGAGAATAACAAAGCTTAGTAGTATTTCTTTCACAACTTAACTATCCCTTAAAACTTTGAGAGGGTAAAAGCTTACAGATCTGTGTTTATGTTAATGGATACTTATCAAATATTGTCCCTCCCCACTTCTCTCCCCTGACAAGAAGGGTACATTGAATAGCTGAGTGAACACCAGCATTAGCTGCTGCTCTTTGGTGAGCTGCCCAGAAGATAGAAGAGGGCAGCAGTTGTACATAATGGCACGGGACAGGATGTGGTCTGTCACTGCAAACCAGCCTTGACTGCTGTCACTGCTCTGAGAGGAGGCTGGTCCCCAGTGCAAGAATATACAGATAGGTGCATGTTTAAAACAGCAACAACAAACACCTCCACAAACAAACAACCCCCAGACAAAACTCAGCAAGCCTCCTCTCTCTTCCTCTCAGGCAGAGCTAGTGCTGCTGGTTTAGATGCATGCTTCTTTCTGAAGGGGCTGACAGGGTACAGCTCTTCTGTTTACCATTTGCTGGATCTGAAATTTCTGTACTTCCATGCTTGCCTCACGCTGTCTTTGTTTCCTTGCCTTTTCCATTTCCAGATGGATGCGGTTCTTTTCCCTTAACGCATGGAGCTCTTTTTTACCCTCTTCTTTTTCCTCTCTCTCTTTTTCCGCTCTCATTTTCATCTGTGTTTTACAAAATACACAAAAAAGTTAACCAAGGAGACGACTGCTAGTTTGGAAGCAGCCCTGTGTGAGCGCTTCGGTGCGCACGGTCATTGTGTCTGGCCGGTGTCCAGGCCTGGGATTTTCAGCAGCCCTGGCAGATGTGCACCCAACACAGAAGTGGGACGGGGAGAGAGGACCCCAGGAAGGTGTCGGCGGAGCTGATGAAGCCTGCTGATGCATGGCACCAGAGCTACCAGCTGTGATCTTGGCCAGGTTCCATTGGAGTAAACACCAGTAAGAACAATCTAGGTTTCTTACCACAGCTGCTCTATATTCAGCAATAGATTCAATGGCTGCCTTTTTTTTCGCTTCTTTCTCTTTGCATTTCTTTTCATGTTCAGCTTCTTTTTTTGCAATGTCTCTAGCAAGGCAATCATCTTCTCTCTTTAAGACCTCAGTCATTTGTCCAGCTAATTGAGTGATGATTTTGTCTTGACGTTCTGCTGCTGCTCTGCAAAACAACATGAGCTACCATAGCATACCAGGATACACACCTGGGCCTACCTGAAGCATTACTGCTAACAAACTCAGCAGTCCTGCTTCAGGTCTTCTCTCCCCTTGCCACACAGGCTGGCCTACCTTCCCAACTCCTTGAGCTCCCTGTATTCCCCCTGTTGGTGGTGGTGGTTGTTTTTTAATTATCTGATTTAGCAAATAAATGTCCCCTGTATTCTTGTCACACTAGCTTTCTGTTGCAGCAGTGAGGTGGATCACACAGTGAGGAGTCTGCCTAGCATCTTGCTGTCAAGAGACAAATGTTGCGAGTATTGGCCAGAAGTAGGAAAAGAAGGTAGATGTGGTATCTTGGTGCTGTATCTTCAATGTCAAATTGGTAAACCATCTTCCCTTAACAAAACCTAATGAAATTAAGTAATATAGGTGCCCAGTTAAGAAGTCAAACTGTCTTTCTTGAACTGTCTCAGGGAAATAACAGCTTATGCCCAAAAATACTTTAGTCAAGGATTTTAATTGTCTTTAATTTTGAGAAGGTGGAGGCTTGGCAGGCCACGTGGAAAATCACTGTTCCCAACACACTGGTGTTGAGTCTTGCACGTCCGTAAGTCTTTGTACTTTGGAGGGCAGACAGATTGCTCCCCTGCACATCTATTACTAAGGAACCTGTGAAAGAATTTCCTTTTTCTCCTGAATCCCCTACTCTCCCTATCAGTAGAATTTAATTTTTAGAATAACTGTGGTTTCTCTTAGATCATGCGTCTAAAAGATTTAAACATGACTACAACTAAAACATAAACTAAATATTTAGGTTATTGACAATGAATGCCATTGTACCTACCTACGCATTTCAGCTTCCTTCTTTTTTATCAGCTGGGCAATAGTTTCCTTTGCTTTAAAATAAGCCTTAATTCGATCATCTTCTTCCATTTGTTTTTGTTCCTCTACTGCTTTGATTATTTTCTGGTCAGTGACGTACTCCTGCATGGGCAAAATGGTCCTGATAAAACCAATGAAGTTTAGAAAATCTGGGCCTGGGATAGCACCTTAAAATAATCACTCCCTGTTCTCTCTCTCTGTGTTTCTTTCAAAGAGAGGAGAGAGGAAAGGAATTCTTAGCACTTCCACTGACTTCTGCCTCTCTGTTCAAACGTGCATGAAGAGGAGATAGTAGATATGAGGAAGGAGAAGGGAAATTAAGCATTGAGCAGCTGCTTCTCCAGCCCATTACACAAACAAATTGCTATGTGGTCCCCCTTGCTCCCACTCGGAGAGGGGGATGTTGAGAGGAATGGAACTGGCAGTCCTCACCAACACATACACAGACCATGCTGCTCCTGACCCACCTCATCCAAACCTACTCCAGTCTGAAAGTTTAATCCAAATCGTAGTTGGAGTTTTCTGTAATTTTATGTAAAAAAATGATTGTCTTTTGCATGTTGGCCAGAACTGTTCAGAAGTGTTTGTGTTTAGCAAGATACCTTTAAAGGTGAAGAGAGAAGGCAGCAGGTCTTGACTACATTTCTAAACCTCTTCAATCATAAAGGAAAAGACAAGTTAAAATGTTCAGACTCAGGCTATTCCCTTATCCTAACAAAGAAAAATGGACTTAAAACAACAGGTCTGTGGAAATTAAATCCAGTTCTCAAGTAAAGGAGAATATTCCTTGATGTCTACATCAGGCATTTTAATCATAGACCAGTCAAACCATCAGGTACCAGTGTCCATTCAGACAAGAGAAGGGCCCTGCCTCTATGAGGCCTTCCTCAAAAGCACAGAGGAAAAACATGGCCTGCAGCTGGCAGGGTAGGTATGTGATCCAACACTACTGCGGATGTCAGCAAACCTCCTGTTGCCAGTATGCCCATTTGGATAGAGGAACGTGGTTGTTTCACTCGAGGCAGCCAAGGTGGAACAAGCATTTTGAACTCTGCTTTCCTGGTACTTACATTAAACCGTCTCTGGCGTTCAGCTTTTTCCTCCTTTTCCTTTTCAGTTTGTTTCTCCATTTCCAATTGGTACAATCGGTTCAACCTCTGTATTTCTTCCCCTTCACTTTTCTCTTCTAGCTTGGCCAGATCTGCCTGATGCTTGTGCTCCTTTATTCTGAATCAGGAAAAAAGTTGAATAATTGGGCTAGGGACTGCATGAAGTAATGAACAGACAGAGATTTCTCAGATTTTCCCCCTCTACTCTGCCCTGGTGGGACCGCATCTGGAATATTGTGTCCAGTTCTGGGCCCCTCAGTTCAAGAAGGACAGGAACTGCTGGAGAGAGTCCAGCGTAGGGCTACAAAGATGATCAAGGGAGTGGAGCATCTCCCTTATGAGGAGCGGCTGAGGGAGCTGGGGCTCTTTAGTTTGCAGAAGAGGAGACTGAGGGGAGACCTCATTCATGTTTTAAGGGTGAGTGTCACGAAGATGGAGCCAGGCTCTTCTCGGTGACAAACAATGATAAGACAAGGGGTAACGGACACAAACTGGAACACAGGAGGTTCCACTTCAATTGGAGAAGAAACTTCTTCTCAGTGAGGGTGACAGAGCACTGGCCCAGGCTGCCCAGAGAGGTTGTGGAGTCTCCTTCTCTGCAGACATTCAAAACCCGCCTGGACGCCTTCCTGTGTAACCTCATCTGGGTGTTCCTGCTCCGGCAGGGGGATTGGACTGGATGAGCTTTGGAGGTCCCTTCCAATCCCGAACGTTCTGTGACTCTGTGATAACCATAGGTACCTTGCACTGAAGAACGTGATACTTTGAGTTGAAGGTAGGTAGAATATCAGAGGTGAAAAATAGCATCACTGTAACGTTAGCACTCAGTCCTCTGATGAGAAATTAGCTGTGGTATGCTCAAAGATTGCAGTCTAGTGGTAACAGGTTTTATCTGGATGACCCATTAGCACCACTGCATTAATAATGTCCTGGCCTATCTCTGCAGCATCTGCAGTGAACAAGGTTTCCCCACTAAGTCCCACTGTATCTATGCTTCTCCTTCTGGGCTTGCAGGCAACAGCTTAAACTGGTGGTGTTCTGTGCTTAGTTCTGCAAGGATTTAAGTGTTGGACCTTGAATATGTGAGACCAGACTTTGAACCCTTCGTCTGCCTCAGGGAATTTGTTTCCTTCTATCAGACCACTAGGGCCAGTCCTATAAATACCACTGCAGGCCCCTCCAGAATGTTTCTGGAAGAGCTGACAGAAAAATGGTGGCAGTGATGCATTCTCTTGATGCATCCTCTGGAATCTAGTTATGGGCAAATGGAAAATCTGGTTTGACCTTTTCATTTTCTGGAACCAAAACTGAATTAAAATATACTTTCAGTAACAACTTTTGAATAGTGATTTCCCTAAAATCTACTGCTGCCCACCAGAGGTGATTTTACATGCAGACTGTTGGCAACTAAAAGACGCTGCATATCACAGCGTTTTCCCTTTTGTGCAAGGTCTTTTGTGGCACCCTGCTTTTTTTTCTTTTAAAGTGTCACACTTGTGAATCAAATTATTAGTGAGTTTCTGTAAGAAACTTAAAGAATACTTGTGAGAAGAGAGTTTAAGTAAATAATAAAGTAGGGTTACTTTTCATTACTTATTACTTACTGCTCCAGCTGGTATCTGCGTAGTGCCCGTTCGTTCTCACGACGCTGACGTGCCTTTTCTTGCTCTCTGAGAATGGCTTCTTTACGGTAACGTTCCATTTCTTCATCCTTCTTCTTGTTAGCATCTGACTTTAACTTTTTAAATTCAACTTGAGCATCTCTCTCTTTTAGAACCTCAGCAAGTAGAAGTGCACTCTGCAAGAGAACATTTAAAGTAATTTATATGTTCAGAAGTGTTTAAAGAAATCCAGTACAATTTTAATTGAAAAATTATAAGGTGTCAACAAACATGCAACGCTTTCACTCTGTTGTTCTGATGGTACAGGTAGGTTTTTGCATTGTCAATAGCCTCCTTCCGTTTTGCTGCTTGGAACTGTTCTTCTTCCAGATCAAGTAACTTTCTTTCTTCCTCTTCCTTTTCTTCACGTAATTTTTTGGCTTTAAGTTTCTGTTTCAGGCTCTACAGTGCAGAAAATATTAAAAGATGCATATTAAAACCCATGGATTAAAACTGTATAAACCGTTCTGAAGGTGATGTACTCAACGTGTGCTATTTTTTATTAATTTTGCATTTTAGCTTCAATATAAAAATTTAAATGTTGATGTTGAATGTATTTAAATGGAGTTTAGTTAAAATACGTATTTAAAAGCAAATGTTAAACAAAGGGAGTACAGCTAGAAATGTTACCCCGAGTGGTTCTGCTTATATGAAAATGAATCCCCTTGTTCACAAATGTATCTTGTACTTACCAGGAGACTGTTGGGCCAGTCTTTTACAGCAGCTTTGCTGCGCAAGTGCATTTCTTCCCGTTCTTTCTTCTCAGCGAGGATGCGTGCTGCTTCCCTAGTTTCACTGTTAAGACTGTCCTGAATCCTTTCCCATTCTGCTTTTGGCAGTATGATTACCTGGTGAAGATCTACATCATTTGGAAGAAAAAATACATCCGGAACATTATTTTGTTCCAAATGATGTGATCCTGTGCAGAGGGAAGAAAAAATACTGAGGTTACTTGACATCAGAAAATCTTATTTTCAAAGCTGTATCAGGATTTGAGTTTTTGCGTAGCAGCAATGCTAAGTTATCCTTAGTATTAATTGCTCTCTCTGTACCCCGTACCCCAGAGCTGAGCTAGGGTGTCTGTAGTCTGACTGTGGGCTGTGTATGTACTTGTGCTGTAGCCCTGACTGACTTCACTGGCTGTGAGTGCCCTTGCCTGTGTGTGTGTGTACGGGTTTGGCTTGTCGTACCTTCACACTTCCCATACAGTACTTGGGCACGATTCTGAGAGCAGCAGGGACCAGGGAGCATTCCCAAAAGGGAAGGGGCAATTTTGGAACAGCCAGACTGCTGGCTGGCTGAGGCAGCAGTGTGGGTACAGGCTGTTCCTTACCACCCTTGTCGTGTGCATATTTACTGAAATAGGTCTGGCTTGTAGAACGGCTTCTTGATTTGCTGGAAAGATTAGCGTTTCTTTGTGCATTAGGCTTACGTACACACGTGTATGCAGAAATACAGCTTTTCTAGGTGATCCCTAGGTTTTGTGAAATGCCCTTCAGACCGTCACCAGTATTTCTGAAGGAAATGGTGCTCTGTATAGAGGCATGCTATTAGGAATTCTCCTCGTTCATCCAATTTGCAGCAGACTTAGGGCCCTGCCTAAAGTGTAAGGAGGCTTTCTGTTACAGCAATACTGTTTTTCAGACGCAGCTGCTAATCTGTTTGCAGTGGGGACCTGGCCTAATCTCCCTCTGTCCAAGGTGAAGGCAGCCTTGCCAACAGCAGGCGTGCAGTGACTCCACTGCTTCCTGCAGGCAGAGGCCGGCCAGGCCCCCAGTTCCTGCCCAGCTCCCAGCTGTAGGGTGATACTGTACCGCACTGCTTTCAGGTTCGTCCTTTCTAGGTAATTCCTAGGGAGAACCAGTCCGTCGTGGTGGGAGAGTAGGGGGAGGCCTGGGGGGAGTCACCCAGGACACGGGGACAAGGAACACCCCTACT